TCGCGTGGTTACAAATATAAAAAAAAAAAAAAGAAAAAAATAAGTAAAAAAAAGTGTCAACAACAACAACAACAATTTGATGAAATAATAGTGGTCCTTCGACGGGTATGGTCAGTTTTGCGTGTGAAACTTATGTACTGGAGAAAGAAAGTGTAGAACAAACGACTGTTGTCGTTACGTGGAAAAATAAAAAAATAAGTTAATTACCGATTTTTCAGCCGTCAAACGAGGTCATCATCTACTCGATTATCTCGAGGCTACCACAACAGCGTTATTCTTTTCAACCGAATCGAAATAAGTAACAGTAGCTTGTTCTTACTAATCACCTAATGTACCCAATTTTTTATGTATAAGTGTTAGAGAATCGTGAAAATCGGTTCAGGTTCACATTGGTCTTTATAAAGCGACAGGATCGAGCCACGTGCCCGTTTGAATAGAAAACGGCACCACCTCCACGTACGTCCAATAGTAAGTTAGCCTATCGTATTTTCTAAATTAATGAAAAACAATACCAAATATCATCATTTATTCCAGTAACTTTCGGTCATTATGGAATCGAATGATTTTTATTGGCTTCAACTTGAGCTACACAGCCATTCCTATCCTGAATTCCAGTAGCTGGATGCGGAAAGTGCGAGAAAGGCATGGCACAACCATGTGAAAAAAATATTGTTTTGCCCCTAGGTTTTACTTTTTGGGACACACCATTTTTTGTGACGGTGAAATTAGGTATCTAAGAACTTGAAATAAATGCATTTTTTAGAAGAAAGTTTCCGCACAAAGTTAAAATAATATCCAATAAAGTGGGTACGGCGGAAAACGATTGAGTCCGTGATAACAAGAGAGAGGGACGAGCAAAACTAAACTCTCCTTCGCTCTCGTAGACTCAAATCAAAGTTCTTCTCGACCAGTCTTATTCCGTGTGATTCAAGCGTCACAGAAATACTTTCTTCTTAAAAGTCTATTGTTTTGAAGAAAAAAAAAAACAAAAACAAAAATGTTGTAACATACCTTTCTCGCTTCTACCTTCCAGCTACTGAAACTTTCTGCCGACTGACGGCTCTTTTGGCGGTACGTACCTATAGCATGTATGAAGACAAATTTGCTAATTTTAGGATTTTTCAAAGTTTTTCCCCCGACCGACTGAAAATTTCCATCCCTGAAGTGAGCCGCACATCAGCCCGTGTTGTATACGTATTCACAGTTTTCGCACTTTCCAACACATCAGGTATCGCCGTCCCTCGTCGATTAACAAATCAACCGATCTATAAAAAAAAGTTTGGATGGTGCATTAATTAAGCTAAATATAATTACCAAGCATTTGTTTTACCTTCAATTTTTAGGCCACTGTTAAATTCGTGCTGGTCGAAAGAAAAATAATCGCTTGATGAGTATCGAATTGGAGCTCAGCGATTATCTCCTCTTTTAATATATGTAGAATTTAGGCCAAGCAATTGTTTCTGTATTTTATCTGTGTTAAATGTTCGGGGAAGATGATTGATTAAAATCAATATATTTTCATATTTTTAATGATTATATTTAATGTCAGGACAACTTAATTCGTACACTTATTCTTCGTCGTCATAAATCAACTTGCCACGTGTGTATCACACGACTGATAAAAACTTCTTTAAGTAAAACGCGTTTAATAAAATCTAATGTATACTTATCATTCCTCGTTTATACTGCCTAACTTATTATTTTCCAATTTCTGGTAATCTAAAATAAAAATTGGGTAACAAGTTAACTATTACATCAGTGGGCTTGAATTTCGAAAGACAAACACAAAGAGCATCGCGGTGTGTAATATTTGCCTTTACCTCTAGTTGGACTGTCGAACCGATTTATATGTACACCCACTGATTTTCGGCTCATCAGGAGTTAAAACTTTTTTTTTACCCTAATAGAAAAGTTGGAAAATCATTAAATAATTCTTCATGAATTGTGAATGATGCTCCAATTTTATGTGAAGAATAATAATTTACAAAGTTCATGCTTTTAAAAAACGTTATTAAAAAGCATTATTATTATTATTATTATTATTATTATTATTATTATTATTATTATTATTATTATTAAGATTTTGTTGATGAAAGAATAATTTTTAACTTATTTAAAAAATTTGGCTAACATAATTAGACGTATACAGTGGCGTGATTATAATGGATGAGATAAGAAATTTGATGAGACATTCGATATAATTTTCGAATCAAAAAGCTTCTGGCTGCTGTGAAGTATACAGTTGTTTGATTGCTGAATACATCATTTTTATAGTTTCTGTAATTTAAAATGAAGTTTCTGTATCTGATTTTCCTAATATCGTTTAGCTCGGGCCAACGGTCTAGTAAGTACTGTTTTATTTTTGAAAATGATCTGTAGTTATATTATTTTTACATACTAGAAATTTTTGAACAAAAAAGAAATATCGTGAAAAGAAAGTTGATTAACTGAAACATTTTTAGTCAAAAAAAGAACGATTGGTCCCATTTCTAGAGGCTTGCCTACTGAAATTTCCACAGTGCCGTACCAAGTAAGAAAATTCAATATCGTCAAATTATTTTTATCACTTCTATTAACGATACTTTATTAAAATTCATGTTGCGTTGTAAAAATTAGGCCCAACTTGTGAGAAAGACTGACGGTAAATTGTTTTGTGGGGCAACAATTATCGACAGTTGCTGGCTGTTAACGGCAGCTCATTGCTTACTGTAAGTAAAAATACCCTTATGATTATGCAAAAACTTGTCAATATTCATTTTGAAAATCAGCTTCTACAAACACAGTGCATTATAAATGAGTGACAAAATATCTGTTCTTGTAGGGGCTGAAGAAATTAAAATTCATCAAAATTTGTTTTTCCTTTACAGTGATGATTTAAAAACATTCAATGTGAAGACCGGCTCGACGATTACGGGCGAGGCTAATTTGAGAATTATCGAAAAGACCATCCAGCATCCCGGTTACAATAATATAACTTTAGCACACGACATTGGTTTAATAAAAGTCAGTCTTCACACTATACGAGACAAAGTAAACAAATCATATCAAAAAATCAAATTGCACTAATTTATATCCGATTGTTTCAGTTGAAGACGTGTCTTCGGTTCGACAAAACTCAAAAAGCTGTGGAGTTGTCAAAAAATAATCCAAGTTTTCCCGATGTCGTAAAAATATCCGGATACGGGCGAGTAGAAGTACGTCAAACGATTAATCATTGAAAAAAAAAAAATAAAAAAATAAAATAAAAAAAAACCAACCATAAAATTTATACAACAGGATATATATTAAAATGGCTTTTAGACCTACGACACGCATCCGTCCATGTACTTGAGAGAAGCGTACGTTCCGGTGGTAAACAAAACGGAGTGCCGGAGTCGCTACGACAATCTCAGGGGCCGTACCGTCGACGAAAGCGTATTCTGCGCCGGCAGGGGATACAGTGACAGCTGCATCGGGGATTCGGGTGGACCCGCTGTGCTGAGGGGACGGCTCGCCGGAATTATATCAGCGGGGGAAGAATGCTCGGACCCTTTCTACCCCAGCCTGTACACCAGAATCGATGTGCACCTCGACTGGATCAAAAATGTCATAAAGATACGATAAAATATTAAATTAAATCTTTAACCGTGGATGATGGCAAATGTTAGCAAATACCTCAAGGAAGCCAAGAGATATTGTAAAATCGTATATCTTACATAATTTAGGTATGTGTCAATACTAAATACAGGTTCATGTAACGTTTTATTGGCTTTTCGATAAAGACGCGTACGGTATAATGAGATGATAAAATTTCATGCCAAATGTAAGGTAGTTTTAAAAGAAGACTATACATTTTGTTATTTTTAAGAAGACAATTTAATCATTAATTCACATATGGTTTATGAATTTTTTTTTTTCCCACCAAAAGTAGTCTGAGCTCATCAAAATTGTATTGAATAATTAGTTTTTAATAAAAGTAAAACAAAAATACATAAAAAAAATAAGAGTAAGTAAAATGTAATGGTTTGCGAAAGTATACAGTTAACGTAAAATTAAAAAAGTTTCATGCAGGGATGGAAGANCAGCTTTTACTAACGCTTTCGTCATATTGTTACATTGTTCTTTCTTCTTTCATTCGAGATGAACCGCGCCTAGGGTAAATCCGAATCTTTTCAGCTGTCGTCGTTGCAATGGTTTCTTTTATTGCTGCGAGAACTCGTGTTCGTCAAAATTGAAAAATCAATGACTTTGCCTTTCCAACTTTTTAAATAAAGTTGTATTCGACATCGAGTGCATTGATTTTTTTTCTCCTTTGTAAGGGTGTTGTGAAAATCTTTTGTTTCGAAGAATACAGTGTCTTGTCTGTATACTAAATTTTAACTTTCAATATGTAGATACGGTGAATTTTAAAATGTCTACCATTAGATGATAATATTTCAAATGTTAAAATTTTATCAAATACGTATTTTATAATCACAATTTTCTATCAATTTAGATTATGACGAATTTTTTATATTATATGTTCGGTTTTTTCGAATGTGACTTGCCTAAGGATTACTTACAGAAACTATAAATTCTATCATCTTAGAAAATAGATAATAGTCATTCATATATAAAATGCGTACAATTTGTACGTAAAAATGAATATACAATAATCATGTTTTAGTTTTGTCGATAATTACGTATACTTTTAATAATATTCAAATTAGAATCGTAGTACAATCTGCTAAATTTTTTTTTGATAAATTATGTTTTGATGATTTAATTTGTGTACCCAAACCAATTAGATTTAAACTTTTTGTACAATAAAAACATTTTAACTATAAAAACCAACAAAAACTAGTACAGGATTAGTTTTTTCCTTACTCCGACGAATCTAATTATAATGAATCCGTAAAATTACATACATTAAAAAATTTAAACAAATATAAAATAATATATGATAGTAGTCCGTATACTTATAATTTTAACAAATCAAGGTAATGTACAAGCGTGTATGCTTATTAAACCTCCAAATAATTGGTTTTATTTCAGATATTGAATTTTTGAATATTTTTTGACACGTTTCAAAATAAATTTGTTTTGTTCACTACGAACACAATGTATCTAATAATTACTATCACAAAGCTCAAATTAATCAATAAAAACAAAAAAAAATTTTTAAGTAGCGGACACACCATTCATTAAGCCATTAGTGCAAAAGGGTTCGAACTAGACATAAGTAACGAGTAACTATGATAATTTGTGCGCGAGTATAACTTATTTCATCTTTAAAAAATGAACCCATTTGAGCGAAGCCAAGATAAAACAATTCTAATAAGTTGGGTCAATGGGAAGTAGCAAGATGCCACAGGAATAGGCACTAATAGGCTTTCGTTTGTCGACGACATTTCTTACGAAGACAGACACAACACTAAAAAGAGAATTCTATCTTCTTAACTCAAATAAAAAGTAGTTCTCGGTTATTTTAATGGAACACAAGTTTTGTATCCCTATTAGACTAATGAATTTATTGAAATTAAATGTATCCAACTATTGCAAATATTTCTGTTTGTTATGTGAAGCTGGAATATTTGTAGTAAAGTTGTAGTTTAGCTAGACTTGAGATTGGCAGTTAAATCTCAACTAAGTATCATTTCTTCATTAATTCAACTTATTGAGCGGGTTGGATTCATTATGGAAAGTATATTTTCAAATTTCCACAAAATAGTTTCATACGTGATAACTATTTTTTGTTAGCTCCACAAACGACGTTTTTATTTAATTTCAAAATAACATGAGTGAACGGGAACGATATCAATGAAAAAAATCAGTTGTCATTTTAAACATTTTTTTTTATCATATCAGTAATTTAAGCAAATTGAGGAACACAAATCAAAGAAAACCCGCGATTCAGTGGTGACAAAAATTTTCAAATAAATTTCAAACCAATGATTATTTGATATAGTCCATAACACTTAACAATTACGTCATTAACAATACATAAATGCTCTCATTCCGATTATAAAATGGTTCAACCTCGATCGATCAATGCATGCGTGATTTATATGAATAAACAATTTCACCGCCACTGGTTGGATTTTACAATTTCACGCTCCAGGTCCTAAGTATCTCTTCGTAGAGCTTCATATGTTTCTCTATGCAAAAAAATTATGTATTTGTAACCTTTGCCTGCTATTTTACACTATTTGGTTTTCTTTCGACTGTTAAATATCATTGTCGCAACGGATATAAAAAAATCAATGTTCTGTCGTTCAACAGGCTGGGCTAGTGGATATGATTATAATAATAATAACGAAACTACCAATAGAGTAATGATCATCATAATAATGTAGTAGAACATAAATATAACAAAGCTCGCTAAATTCGTCGACCAAACTTTAACTCTTTTTCTTTATTTATTTATTTTTTTAATTTACAGTCACAATGCTCAAGTCAGGAGCGATTGCACCAGTTGCCCAATATCCCAACAAAGGAGGAGTTGCGCATGCTATCCTGTCACTTCTCGAAACCGGGGACACCTTGCTCCTCGGTACACCCGGGCTTCCCCAGTGTACCCATAGCAGGTGCTGGTTTGGAGGACGAGGCAGGTAGGCGTTCACCCCTTCACAGGCCGAGATCTCGAAGCCTCAGCTCTCCCAGTCGATCTCCCATACTTGATTGTGAAATTGTCATGATGAACACCATGTACAAGGAACGCTTTCCAAAGGTCAGTTTCTTTTTCTTTCTTGTTCATATTTCTTTATATTTATTCCCCCCTACCCTTCAACGATACTGGCAGAGTGCCAAGATAACCCAGTCGTTACTTTTGTTTTCACCTTGACGGTGTATTTTTTCATTCTCTTTTCTTTTTTACCTTAGCATTGTGTTGGAGACTCGACCAACAAAGTTTTTCTAGCAAGTTTATTTTTTGCTTTTGAGAGCGAAATATTACTTAATTTTCAAAAACTTTAGAGCTGAAATACACGTGTCATTAGATCGGTTGTTATCCAAATGGTGGTGTTTCAATGTAAATATTTTAGATATTTGTTTTAATGCATGTATTACTTTAACATCATCTAATTATTTTCTCATGAATTTTTCTAAACAAATTTATGGATCTGCATTATCTTGCCTATCCGAGTGTTGACGACGACGATTTCGGAATAGTCTTGAACAATTTATTGATACCTGAAATGCGTTGATATTACTTTTATTATTTATTGTTAATATTATTAACATCGCTATTTTCTTACGATAATTAATTAGGCCACTCAACAAATGGAGGAGCGTTTGACGAACTTTATTAATGAAAACAAAGACATTGATGAGTACGAGCTCGTTAGTCAAATGGCTCAAGACTCTCTGCCGATATTGCGCTTCGTCCACCATCAAGTGATCGAAATGGCTCGTGACTGTTTACAAAAGTCTCAAGAAAAACTCATTACTACGAGATATTTTTATGAGATGAGCGAGAATCTAGAGCATCTACTAGTAGAGGTTGGATTTATTAAAATTTTTTTTTGCTGCATAACAGTTAAATATTTTTTTTTTTGAAAAATATTTTTTTTTCACAGACCAAAGACAAATCACTTGAAGCCGCAACGCGTCTGACTGGTCTGATAAAAAAGCTACTGTTGATCATATCGCGGCCGGCACGACTACTCGAGTGTCTCGAATTCGACCCGGAAGAATTTTATCACCTGCTCGAGCAAGCCGAAGGCCAAGCTAAAGTCACAATTGGTATAGAAAAAGACATTCCGCAGTATATCATTAATAAACTGTCTCTGAATCGTGATCCCATTTCTGGTGGGTTAAAGATCCTTTATTCATATTCGATGTATTTAACACTCGGACATTAATTTATTTATTTTCTATTTATTTCAGAACTTCAAGAGGAAATGAACAAACTTGAGGGCTCGGCAAACGCAAACGATAGCAATTTGCAACTAGCGTCATCGAGTCCCAATCAAAAGGAAGAGGAGAGGACCCAGCAACGGGTTCCTTGCGAGAGTGATTACGAAATACTAAAGCTTATCAGTAATGGAGCATATGGAGCTGTCTATTTGGTCAAGGAAAAATCGACAAGACAACGATTTGCCATGAAAAAGATAAATAAAAATAATTTGATGTTGAGAAATCAGGTGGAGCAAGTATTTGCCGAACGCGACATCATGAGCTTTACTGACAATCCATTTGTAGTTTCCATGTATTGCAGCTTTGAAACAAAGGTTTGATATATATATATATATATATATATATATGCATATTGTAAAAAAAGTTGAAAGCTCTTTTTATATTATTAGCATTACTGTAATCATACATTTTTATTGCAGAAACACCTATGTTTGGTAATGGAGTACGTTGAAGGCGGGGATTGTGCTACTCTATTGAAAAACATCGGCCCTCTACCTCCAGATATGGCAAGATTTTATTTTGCTGAAACTGTTTTAGCCGTTGAATACCTACACAGTTACGGGATTGTTCATCGTGATTTGAAGCCCGACAAGTAAGCGCCTGCTGATTCTGAAATCCATCTTAAAAACGCAGATATTTTTGAATACATTGTTACAAATTTTTTTTTTCCAGCTTGTTAATTACAGCTCTTGGTCACATAAAACTTACGGACTTTGGTTTAAGCAAAATGGGTCTCATGTCTCGTAAGTAATTGATTATTGGGAATTTTGTATCATTTTTTAAATATACAAGTTACCTACAATATAATCGATCTAAATACATCTAAATACATGTTAGTTGCCACAAATTTATACGAGGGTTACATCGAAAAAGATACCAGACAATTTTCTGATAAACAAGTTTTCGGTACACCCGAATATATCGCTCCCGAGGTAATTCTCCGTCAAGGCTATGGGAAACCTGTTGACTGGTGGTCTATGGGAATCATATTGTACGAGTTCCTTATTGGCTGCGTTCCATTTTTTGGAGAAACACCGGAGGAGCTGTTTGCTCACACAGTCAATGGTTAATATACCAATGTAAACAGTATGGTATATACTCCATTGGGGATGAAATATGAAATAATTAGTTGAAAAAATCTTTTCAGATGATATCGAGTGGCCGGAAGAAGACGACTGGCCTGTACAACCGGAAGCTAAAGACATCATAACAGCTCTTTTACAACAAAGTCCTCGAGAACGTTTAGGAACGGGAGGCTCGCACGAAGTCAAAGAACACCCTTATTTCTATGGAGTCAATTGGAACACCCTCTTAAGACAGAAAGCCGAGTTCGTTCCTCAGTTAGCAAATGAAGAGGATACTAGTTATTTCGATAGTAAAAATAATTTTTTTTTACATTTCACTGATATTTATAGCTCACCAACATTATGAGTATTTATCTTTTCAGCGCGGATGGATCGTTATAACCACGATCTTGGTGATGAAACGGACGATACCGACGATTCACCCCTATTTGGTTCCTTTTCCTCGTATTCGCCGCAGTCTCGCAAAATTTCACAAACGCAGCTGCCAAATTTGAACCAGTCAGAAACTGAGCCAGATTCTTTGAAAAAGCAACTGTTTCGAAATGAACTGGAAAGAACCGTGGCTCAGTTGACTTTAAATTCACCTGTCTCGTCGGTACAAACCCTTTCCAAGACGGAAGAAATTGTTGTGGAGAAGCCTGTCGTGCAAAGCGAGCCTCCAAAATCATTAGTCCCATCAGCTGTTAAGTTAAAAAAGAGCTCGAGCGCAGACTCTCAGTCAACTGGAAAAAAAACAACATCACCCCCACTGTCTACTCCCATTGGGCCCAATACATCTGGTCCGTATCACAGTACACCCGAAAGCTCGCAAACCGAATCGGATGACATCAGTCCTCAGATCCAGAGAAAGCGATTTGTTCATTCGCGAGACAAGCTTCCCAGGTTCAGTATTTCCTTCGATGATGATAGTAACAACACGTGAGTCCCCGCAGTAGGCTGCTTCTGCGCTTTATTTTTATTTATTTGTTTATGTTATCCTTTTAACATTAAAATTGTATCACAAAATACACAACGTTTTTGCATTTTATTTTGCTACTATAGTATATGCATACCGTAATTTTTTATATTTTTTTCTTCTCTAAATATGTTGCTCTGAATATTAACTTTTCTTTACAGGCTCGATCTGATGGCTGCTCACAGAGACTCAACCGAAGATAAGCTCGGCTCTAGTACGGACTCTTTTGAGTCTTTCACAGCTTTTCCGCTTTTACCTACCGGTAAGCAAAAATCACGGTCTGTAATTAAATCAGCGTCCACCAGCGGTCTTTCGTTAGTAATACCAACGGGTGATTATTCATGTATGTATTCAATATACATTAATTACTGAGACGTGATTTATTTTTTTTTTTCATAAAATTATTCCTTATTGAAATGCCCGTACTGCTTGTTTTAGATCCGGCTGCTGGTGCAAATCAAGCTGTAGAGTCTCCCGGGGGTTCATCAACGGCCTCGTCGCGTGATACGTCGCCGTGTCGGGAACTGAGTCCCCTGGTAATGAGCTTGAAGCCTCCGATAATCATTCGCCGAGGTCCGAACGGTTTTGGATTCACTGTACACACAATTAGAGTCTACTACGGAGACAGTGACTTTTACACCATGCACCATTTGGTCATGGCAGTAGATTCGTCGAGCCCGGCGTTTGAGGCTGGATTGCGTCCCGGTGACCTTATCACCCACATAAACGGCGAGCCAGTTCAGGGCCTGTATCACACGCAAGTACTGCAGTTGATGTTAAGCGGCGGTGATCACGTAACTTTGCGCAGTACGCCACTCGAGAATACCAGTATTAAGACAGGAGGTCGCAAGCGGGAGCCTGCCCAGAGTAAAATGGCCAGGCGAGCTCTGCATCAGCGCCAGCGCAAACAGAAGCGAGATCACAACGACAAAAAACGCAAGACCTCGTTATTCAGAAAGATAAGCTCCAAACGAGCTAGTGCTGAGATGCAGCAGGTATACTCAGAGGGAATCTGTGGAACTTTAGCACAATTATGGCTCTGTTTAATTTATTATGATTTTTTTTTTTTCATCGTTAAACTTTCATTTTTTAATTTTTATATAGTACTATACCTAATACCCACAAACAAGGCATTTATTTGCACATCGACATTAAGATAGTTAGACACGGCACTAAGGACAGTTTTTATTATTTTTCATTGCAGCCATTATGTATCAGTTCTCCCTTGTCTGCACCCATACTACCCAGTGACAGCAAACCACCCCTTATGGTATGCTTTTGTTTGATTTTCGTTTTTTATTATTTCTCCCTTCACACATCACGTATTCATAATCCTCATCTATTATTGTTTAATGATGTGGTATTTGAAAAACTTATCCACTGATATCCAAAAAACATTTTTCCAACGTTGCTGGAAAGATCATTGAATCATAATTTCCAGATGGCAGCTGGAATCTGTTCACCGTCAATGGTGACGCCCACGCGATCCTTTCAGGCATTTGCCAGGCAACAACAGCAAGATATATCGGCGCTTTTTCCGTCCCCAACAGGAGCACCAAACCGTCCCAGTGCAGAGTCTTACAACTCAACGGGTAAACATGAAATTGGCGCTCATTCACGTAAAGATTTGTTCCTTTTTACAAGCTTATTTACTTTCGTAACGTCTGTGTAGCTCATTCGAGTCCAAGCTCAAGTCCAAATTCATCATCACCTGGCTCGAATACTTCGATTGGTGGCAGCGGTGGTGTCGGCGGTGGCAGCGGTGGTGGTGTTGGTGGAAGCAACCATGGGGTCAGCGTCAGTGGCAGTTGCTCTGGTAACTCTGTCAATACCAGCAACTTGGGCAGCCAGGCCCATTACCAGAGACCCAGCACGTTACACGGGCTCAAGCACAAACTGCACACCGCAGCCAAGAATATACACTCGCCGAATCGGCGCAAATCCGTCGGACACATTCCCCTCTCGCCGCTGGCTCGCACGCCAAGTCCTTCGCCCATCCCGGCCAGTCCGACGCGAAGTCCTAGTCCCCTTGCCTTTCCCACAGGCCATCAGCCTGGCAGCTCCAATACAACACAGTCTTACAGTCCTGGTAAGATCATTGTTTATTTTATGCGTTACAAAATTTTTCCAGCCTCTGATAATTAACAATATTTTACTCTAGGCGCTTCGCTATCGACGCCAAATAGCCAGAAAAAGGCGTACAGCCGTCCAAAGTCTGCTGAGCCCGGCTCGCCCCTCCTGCGACGTGCTTTGAGTCCAGATCGGCTACATCCACGTTCGGCTGAAACGAAAACGTCGATATCGCCGTTGGCCAACAGCGTAGTCAAAGTAACGCCTCGTGTGAGCATAGCCCAGAGTACGTACCCTGAAAGTTCGGACGACATCAACAGCAGCAGCAGCGATGCTGGTTTAACTTCCAGTCAAATGAAGGACGATGTCACGGGTGTTAGTTGCTGCAATACCAGTAATAGCAGTAATAATAAACTGGACAAAAAATCGGAGCAGCAGAAGTCAATCGTCGACTATTCGAAGCTCGGCCTTGGGATTTCGATTAACATAGCGAACGTGCCGATCTCAATGTCGAACTCGAGTCAGTTGCCAAGAATAGCTGAAGAGAAGGACTCACCGACTGGTAGCAAAAGCGACGAACCTTTGACGACGCGCGAATTCATAGATGCTGGACAAGGCAGTAAAACCGAACAGCAGATCGTCGTCAATAAAATAGTCCAGCAAATACAAAACGAGTCGTTATGCGAGAGCTTCGAGCAAAGAAAGTTTCGTCCAGATTCTGCTGGCGAACCTGATAATAGAAAGCTACTCAGGAGGTACAAATCAGAAAATCTGGACTCGACGTCGCAAGATTTTAAAAGTAATAAATAAAAGTAGCACACGTTGTTTACTGACTGACTATTCTCTTCCTCATTTTCTTACTTTTATTTTAACAAAAGAAGAATCTTGGCTGATGCCGCACTCGTAAAAAATTTCCGTCTGTTAAAAGCTGCAACAAAAGAGCAGATTACCTAATAAAATTAATTGTGGGCAGGGGCGAAAGGATATGTGTGTTTCATTAATGTGTTATCATCAAGTTTTCTAACGGTCAAAGGAAATGCGATGTTTATCAATTGTAAGAGTGATTAAGAAAGTTCATGGAAAAAAAATTATTCTAGTACGCGTATTATTAATCTAACAATAGTTTGCATGTGTATTGACTGTATGTATCACCAGTGAAAATTAAATTATAATCGTTTTTTAAAATTTCGATCTCGTGCACACTCATATTTTTAAAACATTAAATCTTATAATCTACTCGATTCTGTGTAATGTAAAAATTAGTCTTACTCGCAAGTTCACTATTTTAAATATATATATTTATTTATTTACTAATCGACCTTTTTATTTCCATTGATATATTTTACTTGTAATTTTTTTTTTAACTGTCAAAGAAACTCACTTTTTTCGAAGTAGAAAAGTTTTTAAAAAATGAAGTAAGTTACAATATATTTTAATGTTGAAGTTAAAGAGCACACTCGTTCATATATACATACAAGTTGGAGCACTCACTGCCTCTTAAAAATTGTATTTCAAAATGTTCGTTAAAACAATGTTTATTATAGCTTTTGAGTAAAAACAAAAAAATGGACTAAACACCCATCACCACCATGCACATTTAGCCAAGTACATTAGCTTATGTGGAAAAATTAGTAAATTGATAAAAATAAACGTAGAACAGTTCATAATCTTCTTCAGTGACTAGTAACAAAGAATTTCAGTAGTTGATAAACAATAGTAACGATAATGATGCTAACTATGACTGCTAAATCAAGCTGCAGTATTTGTGATCTCAAACACTATATGTCTCTCGCAAAAGTAAATCGCGACAGATTTTTTTTCGTAAGTTCCAATCAACATTTGTCATAAAAAAAGCCGTGCCAACTAAATAAATGTGGTCGATGTGTTTGATCGTGTAAGTCTTGATTCTCAACAAATGAAAAATATTTTTAATTTTACAGAAAATAAATAATATTTTGACTACAAAAAGCAAATAATGAGAAAACAAATATATATACATGTATGGTGGCAGCAAAAATACGCATCGATAGAAGAGATATTTATGCAGGAAAAAAAAAATTGTTGAATCAAACTAGTGAAAGTCTCGTATTAGTACTTTTATGGGGAAAAAGAATTTGATGTAATGATTCGTGTTATAACCTAGTGCTAAAAATAATGTTATTTAGAAATAATAAAAAGGAAAAGAGTAATAAAGAGTTAGATGCATTGCAGCTTATTATTTTGCATCTATGCATTACAGTAGAGTTGAAATTAGTTTTCATGCTGTCAATTTTTTTTGTCTATCGAAGCGTTTAACCATACACTTATTTTTTTTTTAATCAATGTAAACACAAATGTATTTTTGGTGAATGCGTTTCTTTGTATATTGTTTTTTCTGTGTGTGTTGGCACAAAACAATGAATGTGCACAACGTTGTATAGATACATAATTTAATGCTTCTGCATTTAATTTGGATGTTAGGATGAAAGTTATTTAATGAGAAAAAAAAATCAGGTTCATCTGATCAGTTTGGAAATATTTTAAAAAAATTGTTCAGTGCAAGAATTATTTTTTTAAACGATTGACATGTCTGGTCTATAACTGTGATTCTTTTGTCTCTCTGAAAATGAGAGCACGTAGACAATGTAATGGTGTCTACAAAGGTGTATTAAATTATAAATTATTTGTTTTTAAAAAAGTATCAAATGTCTACATTCATTGAAGAAAAAGAAAAACTATGTTTTTGAATGGTTCCTCTCTCCCTCTTGCTCTTCCTAACTAACATTTAAAATACACTACCCGTAAACAGAATGCAAGATACTACGTAATATACTGATACGTTACCGAAAACATTAATATTTTTAGCTTATACCACCAGTTATCGTTATTAAAGTGCGCTTTAATGGTAGTTTCCCTACCTCGGGCGTTTTTTTGAGAGGCTGGTGTGCCCTCGGTACGAAAAATAGTTCGAGACGAAAACTTAGTACTGCATAGATACTTTGCACAATCATTAAAAATAATTTATTTTGCAAAGGCTATTGCGAATTTCAGTATTAGCCAATCAATTACTATGACCGATAATAGAATCGTAAACTTTCCCCAAAAGCCATAGCAACCGTTTATAAAATAACCATTTTTTCTGCTCTCCCGCCAGCTCGTAGCATTTTTATTTTTTTGCAAAAAACTGTAATTTCCGACAGTTTTTTTCCAAAGCAACTGCTAAACCTGCTAACGATTCCGCAGTTTTTATTATTTTTTTGATAGCGCATATTGTTAAAGTTGCTCTCGCGGAGAGTGTTCACGTTCACATTGTTCACAGAGCCCGAATCCCCTCCTCTTTTTCTTCATACCCCTACGTGCTTCTCGAATAAAAAAAAAAAAATTTGCGTGTAGTTCGACCGCTCGACCGCGACGGGACGCTCGAACCAGTAGAAAACAGTGGGCACACACTATTCGTGTAAGTAGCATTTGTACCTACTAAGGTTTGCAGTCAGCAATTTTCCTTGAAGTATTAGATTAGACAACCAAATGTGACGTGAGTGCGAAAGTGCAAAAAAAAAAAAAAAAAAAAAAAAAAAAAAAAAAAAAAAAAAAAAAAAGAAGAAGGAAGAGTGCAAAAAAAAGAGAGCCGCCTCCTGCCACGGATCGAGGACATGTCATCCCGCCGAGTGAATAAATTCTTTGTCGTATCGGGGGGCCCGAGGATTGTCATCATCGAATAATCGAGGTGATTATTTACTCATTATCTTCTGCAGTGCTCGTTTTAACTAGTTCGTGTTACTGTTATTCTTCAAATGTATTTGCATTGTAAATCATTGGCTCTATGTTGACGGTTGGTGTATAATGTGTGTGTCATCGGCCGTTGGTCGTCAAAGGGTTAATAAAGCGCCCTTCCGATTGACACTTGATAGCAGTTAAATAGCAGACTAATAAAAAGTTAGTGTATCAGACTTACTATACTCTCTTCAGAACCGATGCAGTGTCAATAACCTGCTTAATAAATAATAAAATAGGTCGAAGGAAAAGAATATTGTGCTTAAGACGGGGGCGAGGTTAGAAGTGCAAGCCCGAGAGAGATCGAAACGAAATTGTAGGTACATTTTACACATAGAGGTATACACCTATATGTAAAAAAATACTTGCCTACTTACAACAGTCTGTGTGCATATGTGCGAATAGATCGAGAGGAGGCTTAACATGGCGTCGGCGTCGTGTTATTTCATGCTGCTGTCAAATCAGCGCACTTGCCTGGGATACACGTACACCTAGGCTATTTTGTACTTAGTCCCTATCCCCAGAAATAGATCTTAAAGGTGAAACATGGGGTAACTGCGTCGTCGTATATTTAAAGTACAAAGATTTATATACTGAACTTTTACAAGTACCTTTTTTTATCATATACTCGTCAAAGATAATTGTCATCTCTACTGCTGGCACTACCTACCGTTGCTTCTGCTTATCCTAATGTTATTGTTTATCTTAGGCGTATATATAAGAGTATACCTATACGTTTTCTCCGTTATTTCATTAATCTTCAGTCTTTTTATCTTGATATCTATACTTGTCCGCTGTACGGCGATGACGATCGGAATACGAAAGGAGTAGGGTGACGATGATGATAATACTGACTCAATCATGACGAATACCTTATCGGTCGCGCGCCTTATTTTTACTGGCTAAAAATTTATATTTGCATTTTTGGGCGTGTTGTGATATGTGTTGTCTCATTTGTTCCTGTTTTAGGTGTAATAACAGGTCGGGGATTGAGAAAAGGAAGAGGAGATTAGTAGAGAAGGAGGATCCCCGAGAAATGGAGGCTTTGGTGGAGTACAACTACGAGGCACAAGAGCCAGACGAGCTCACCATACGTAAAGGTGACATCATCAAAGACATCAAAGTAACAATTGGGGGTTGGTGGGAAGGCACCTTGAGAGACAAGCGCGGCATGTTTCCCGACAACTTTGTCAAAGTACGGGCATGTAGCTTTATTTTTCAGACCTCTGTTGCTAACTATTATTATCATTATTGTTTATTATATCTTACACAGGTGCTGGATCCGCAGGAGGCAGCCAGAAATAATGCAGGAAGTGATAAGAGTGCTACAATGAAGCACGACGGTGAAGTTACCCTGCGAAATGGATCCGAAAGGAGGGTGTGCAGAGTGATGTTTAGCTACGAGCCATGCAACGATGACGAGCTCAAGCTTATTCCAGATGATTCTATTGAATATTTGGGAGAGGTAGAAGAGGGCTGGTGGCGAGGTAAACTCAAAGGAAGAATAGGCGTTTTCCCTTCAAATTTTGTTTCGTCTCCTGAAATAACAGATGAAACGGATAAAAGTAAAGATAAGAAAGAATATTGCAGAGTACTTTACCCGTATGAAGCTGCTAATGAAGATGAACTTACTATTGCTGAGGGTGATGTCATTACACTGATGTCAAGAGATGCACCGGATAAAGGCTGGTGGAAGGGAGAACTTAAGGGTCAAGTTGGATTATTTCCTGATAATTTTGTGGAAGTGATAACAGTGAAAAATGAACAGTTTACGGATGGTCCGATGAACCAAATGTCTATACCGAAATCGCTTGTAAAACATCAGATTGGAAAAAAAAAAGAAACGGCTAATATTAGGAAAAGTTTAGAAGTAAAAAATCAGCGTTCCGACAATATTGTTAAAAAGAGTTCAGCTTTCGCATCATCCTCATCCTTGTCCGTTAGCAGCGTAACAACCGACAAAAAAACATCGAATACTTCGGTATCAAGTTTAAAACGTTTGGTAGTTGACAACAGTAACGTTAGTCATAACAATGGAAATGCAGGAACTGAACTAGGTGAAGAATTGGATGAAGTCGAGAGAGGGGAAGGTGGACCTCTTTCACACTTGACGGCATCAAGGGCAAAAGCTCCACGACGAAGATTACCCTCTGCGCAACATTTAAGACACAATGTGACCACACCAACTGCACCTGCTGGTGCTAATAATATAGCAGCCATGGTAATATTACAAAGCTAAATTCATTTATTGTCTTGTTTATTATGATGTGCTATATTATTGATGATTATTGTACCCTCTTCTCTAACAGGATAATATGACTAATGGTAATGCGGATGTTATGGAACAAACCGTTAAAGATGATGAAAATGATGGACTTTTGGTAAAATTAAAGAAAGCGCCGTGGATGGAAGAATTAAAATTAAATCAAATAGAACGTAAAAAAGGAAACACGGAGAAATCAGATAAAGGAGAAACCAAAAAGGATCGCGTGTTTTCGTGGTAAGATAAAAATATCTGTTAAAAGATTTATGCCACTAAGAATGAATCATACATCATTTTTATAGGCTTACGTCACCAGCAAACAACTCTGAGGCTTTTCCTAAGCAAGACTTGGATGGAGACGATCACAAACCAAAAGAAAAAGAAAGAGACAAGGAAAAGTCTCATAAAACCGAGCCAACTCCATCTTCTGAACAGCCATCTCCATCTCCTGCGACTAGTATGCCTGCGTACATCCCGTATCACCTTTATGCTCCGCTCCTAGATAGAGTGGGTACCACAACAATTCGTTATCTTCAACAATTTTTTCGTGTGTTTATGAAAATTTTGTTTTGTCTATAGATTGCAGTATTGGAAGAGAAGCAGACGATTCTTCAACGAAAGGTAAATCAGCTTTCGGAACAATTAGCTGCCTACGTTGGTAATGGGGCAAGTGATAAAGATTAAATTGTAACATGAAGACTTTTTCCGCATTTTATCGATTCTTTGATATTTTTTAAGCAATCGCAACGTGTTGTTTTATAGGTTTTATTTGAAAAAAAATTATTCTGGTTTTATCGTTTTTAATTGTTTGGCGTGTATTTCTAAACAGACTGAAACATACAACGATCATGCATCGCGATTTCGACATTCCACTTTTTTTTTACCTTTGTAAGTTTATACCGAAATGGCAAAGTAACCAAGGAAATGATTTTTTGTAACTGGTTCTCGACCTTTACATAATTCGATTTATTTTATTTTAAGTTTCTAATGCTGAAACTAGTTTCTTTATAATGTACTTAAAAAGTAGCCGTGTTGATTATTTTTTTAGCCATTAGTATAGATTTTAAATTGACTCGACTGTGCCAATAATTTTTTATCCCATGTTCATTTTTTTGGCATAGGCTAGACATGATTTTAATACGATTGATTTCCATACGACTTACTTTATACTAATTTATTACAGACTTTTTAAATTTGTAACAATAACGCACCAAAATTTGAAAAATCTAATTTTTACAGATTTTTTACCTATTTAGCTAACGGAAATGAAATATTTATCAAAAGATAAATAATTTTGGCGTTCAAAGATCGCTTGGTACTTCTTATGGGCAATTTTGTACTTATGAACATTTATAAATGGTTTATGCAAAAGAAAAAAAAATACAGGCAATGTGTGCTTAGCTGTACCTTAGATAAACGGTCCGCATGTCATCTGCAGTAGATTAAAAAAAAAGTCACTCGCAATAAGCGGATGACACCCTTAAAAAGTATATTTTTTAATCAAGAATTCCTTGCTTTGGTCGAAAAGTTAAAAGAAAAGCGTTTTAAGGCAGACGATGAGGAAGCAAAATATGTAATTCTAAGATGAAAGGAACTATTTCTGACCAAATATCTTGTTATACGTATCTTGAATTGATAATTTTGTACTTTTATAAAAGCACGGCGGTATGTATTTAGCCACAAAAATACGCTGCAGTACCATCGCATTGTTTATTCAGTATCACGAAAAACCATATGATCAAAAAAAGAGTGCTAGTACTTACGTTAAAATAAATTTTTCTTATTTTGCAAGAAAAAAGAAATGAATGCTCGTATTCGAGTGGGCTACAAGCGTGTGCAGATGATAATAATAATAATAATAGTAATAATAATAATTAAATATTAAATACGAAAGAAAAAACCAGTAGAAGAGAATTTTGCATTTTTTATACAAATACAAAAAGCTCCTCGTCGTTGATAAATAAATGTCCATAAACGCAACAAAAATTTTGTAGTCCAGGTTGTAAACGATGCTTCCGTTAGTCGCTATAAGATACTTATCGCATGGTCACCAACAGTATTTCTCATTGGTATGTGAAACGAAAAAACGACAAGGAGGGCTTCGTGATAGCCCGTTGATATATAAAAAAATGTTCTAGTATGCCAAGTACAGCTGTTACTTGGTGAGAGAAAAGTCGCAAGTTATCCTAATCCTAGTAAAGCAAAAAAAGGAGGCGACTCTAACTGGATAAAAGACGAATGATGTTATTTACCTATCGATAGAAAAAGTTTGTGCGTCCTATATTTATTGAAAAAAAAGGAGATTTTTATGAAAAGACGAAAACGCATAATACACGTATATGTACATAATTTTTAGGGAGAAGAAAATGCGCGTGCGTTTAACGCAAATTAAAAAAATAGGACGTATAAAGAAAAGTGGTAAAACAGATGAGATATTATATATTTTCTCTTGCTTCTCGTGATGTTGCACGTCCCGAGCGACGTAAACCTATATGTAGTTCGTATATTTGTAAATATCGATTGATTTCATTGGAGTATATATATATATATATAAATATGAAAAAAGTACATATTACAAACAAGTATTTTCTCTTTGACTAATTTTAACCTTGACCAATTCATCTTCCCCACATAAAATTTCCAACACGTTTGTGGTTCGTAAAACTTCGGAATTTAGGTAGTTCGCAAATGTATGGAAGTTTCGTGGCGCAAGGTACAACGCGCCAAACAGGATCATTCTTGTAGTCGGCTTGAATTAATCCAACGCAACCGCGTGAATGGGACGGCTCACCAGAATCCCAGGCTCTATAATCGTGGCACGACAGCAGATCACCTTTTTTGTACATCTCGTTGATGATAAGTAATATAAATCTTTTTTTTTTTTTTTTTTCTAATCATTAAAATGAAAATAAGCGAGTGTACCGAATTCATTTTTCCAAAGACGCTGGTTACCCTCATTGCTCAAACCAACGTAGGCAATAGACTCGTTGACCATCGAGGCAAGTCCTCGACTTCGAGCTTCGTTTGACACGTCAGCCAGAGAACCATGGATTTTTCGACAGGAATCTCGAGCTTCGGTAAAGTTGAGTCTGTCGGGAAAAATAGTGAAGAGTCCGACGTTTTCCACGCAAATCACACTCAAGTTTTCTGAGAGAATTTTCGAAAATTAATTTCAAGGCGTTTGGACCATCACTATTGACAAATTTTACCTGCACGCCGGTTATTTGGATAAGCACTGTAATAATCTACGCCTGTGACATTCATGAGCTGTGGAATGCCTACTGATTCTGGACAGCGTAGCAAGAGGCAATTGGCTTCGTTAGAAACAGTCCGCTCTTTAAAACGGTATACAGTACTGATTGATATGTTGATACGTGTTGTAAATACATTATTTTTAAACGTTATGTTTGTATATGTTGAAAAAAAATATTAGTCATTGAAAATGTAACCCCGTCTTTAAATTTTGTTTTATATTTTCACCTACATTTCGATAAGAGAATATTTCTTATCTAAAACTTTTATTTGATAACGAGATCCGTCGTTTATGAAGAAATATAACTTTTAAATAATTACCAAAATAGAAGGCAAGCGCGTTTTTATTTTCGGCAAAATCCATGCATTTGGATACGCTAGCAACTCTCCGTCTTGTCATCACATCTTGTTTGGATTGAGCGTTCGCCTTGATCAATCTGTAGGAAATAGCTCGTCTCACGTCCAAATTTTTGCAGCTTTCAGTTGTCATGAAAAAACTTAACAACAACAACAACAACAACATATTCAGTGTCGTCAACTGTAACTCTCTGCACAAACTGTCTGCTGCTGTGAGTTACGAAAAATTGCGTAAGATGCGGCTTTGAAAAAATTTAAAAAAATGATATTTTGATTGTCTGCCAAATTGCGTAATATCCGTATGAGTGCTTACGTATTTCCGGAAAGGTACGTGAGATAGACAGACACTGACACACGAGACCTTCGTTTTTTCATCCATTTTTTTTCGTCTTCTTTTATTACTTTCAATTTTGTGCTTTTCTTATCATTCATTGTACACTGTCTTATCCTCTCTACAATACATTTTTTACCTACGTGTCAAAATGATTTTGTACCTCGATCCACGCTATTTATCATGAAATTTAATCATAGGCGGATCGACAACAGCCATAAGAAAATATATAGGTATGTAGGTAAGTTTCATCACCGAAACATCAAACAGGACATTTAATATAAGCGTATTTCATTAGTGCCTCATCAGAGTTGACTTGGATCTTTTGAGTTTTGACATAACCAGCTATCCGCGAGCTTGTGAGCATTTGTCAAATTATCGAGCGATGACTCAAAGTCCTTAGCATTTCAACAGGGGATCGATACACTTGGTCACTTCTTGGAAAATGTCGTTGATGTCGCCTTCGGCAACGATCTGCAAGCACACAAAAAATTAAGCCATCAATTTTCCCACTGTAGACGCGAATCGAGTCGTACAAGAAATACTTACCTTCTTGACCTTACTCCCGTAATGCTCGACGATTTTTCCGTTCTTCTCGTTAAAAATTTCAATCCGCTTTTTGATGGTCTCCTCATTGTCGTCCTCCCTCTTGACGGATGCCGCGGCAGCTCGGCCGAGCAATCGCTTGATGAGCGTTTCGTTGGCGACTTCGAAGTAAATAACTATATCTACCGGGCCAACCTAGGCAATCAAATAAAATTCCATTGAGTTACGCTGAAGTTCGAAATAAATTGCAATACTTTCGTGTGACTATATTGTCGCTTACAGTCTTTTCGAACTGAAGTCCCTGGTCCAATTCACGCGGGTAGCCGTCTATCAGGACGCCCTTCAAATTGGGATTCTCCTGTTTGGCCTTCTCTATCCTCTCCTTGATCAGCGTCAGGACGACCTCCTACGGAGACATGTTTGTTTATAAATTTGTTAGTTTTAATTCGAATTAAGATGAAACGTGGAGTACTCACCGTGGGTACAAAGAGGCCTTGGGACATGAGCTTGCTTAGATCGGCACCGCGAGGACTGCCGCTGGCGACCTCCTCCCTCAGAAGATCACCGCTGCTCAGGTGGACAAAGCCGTACTTGTTGATGATTTTCTCGCACTGAGTGCCCTTGCCGCAGCCCGGGCCCCCGATAATCCAGATCACCAGCATATTTATTTAGGTGTTGATTACTTATCGGGAAAGGGGCTGCAATCACAGAGGAAAAAAGAAAAAAATAGTTTTGCTGAGAGTTCAAGTTGCACAACAATGTAGATTAAAAATCGGGGAACGGTTACTGAATGCGGAGGAGGTAAACTCTAGTGCGGCGCGAACGAAGCTCCCGAACGACTAATAATAGAGAGGAGCGCGCCTACTCGTTATTTTCGAAATTTCGCTACGAGGGACAGAAAGAGAGCGGACCTATGGTCACTCTTTAGATTTTTCGTGGGCTTTTCCGTTGTTGCTGCTCACATATGTATGCAATACTGCCTCGACAGAAAGACAATTGAAAAGCGCGCTCATATCTGGCGAGCTGAAAGGTGTATTTTCAAGCTAACGCAGAAACTGGACTTTCGAGCGACTTGTATATTTTAGTTTGGAGTCTCGTGTCGAAATTCACCTAAACAAACATGTCTATAATAAATATACATTATTGTATATATAGGATTAGCCAACCTTTTAAGAGCTTTCGTCGCTTACAGCATGGTAAAGGCAGAGGCAAAAATTATGTAACTTTCAGTGATAAAAAAAAAGTATTTGAGCGAGGGCACCCCTACGTTTCGTGGTGCCGCAAATCCAGTAACCTATGTATATCTCACAATACGTGGCACCACACAAATCGTATAGTAAGTAGTAAGTATGGCCAAGGCGAGAAACGGTGTACCCATTAAAATATTGGCAACGATAAAATTAATATGTACATTTTCTAAAGATCATTAAATTTTGAAGTAATTGTTTCGTTCATCGGTGGATCTCGTATCGCAATAAATAAGTATACTTATCGATTAAGAGAGTCATTTGTCTCGTTGCCAAGTGCCCAAGTGTCACTACCATACATACATATATATATATACACACATGATCAATGTTGCAGTTATATGCATTTTTACAGATACTGAGTTTTTTTTTATAAACATGCTCTAATGATTAAAACATCCAAATGAAAACTCTCAAAAAAAAACTTGTGGTTCATTCATTAGATTATCAAACAGTTCTGTTAGAAATATTCTTTTGAGAGAGTTGAAGAAGAACAGAAGTATTTAAGGCTATAGTACTTTGGTTACTGTTTCATCAAGTTCAATTAAACAATTCATTCATGGCCAACAGTACATAATGTTTCAGTCACACTTTGAGACATAGAAAATAAAGTACCCTAGATCGAAGAATAAGTTGCCAACAATCAATCGATCTTCGCCCGTAAATCACTGAAAATGCACCATTGAACTATCACGTATATTATATTACTAACCTTGTGAGAAACGACAATAAAATATGAGTAGATATGTACCTGTTAAATTTAACGGAAGTATTTAGTTTATGCAATGGTGAGTCGACGTTTTGTTTTGCTCCCAGGGACCGCGTGTTTAACCTGACGGTTTTCTTTTTTTCACTGCAACGGAGAGATAACTTTACTGTAGAATTGTGGGTTGTGGACTGGCCCGTGTAACCCACGTTCACTTGCACTGTAGCATCACACACTACCCCCTACCCCCTACCCCTTGTCTCCGCGTCAGCTGTTATGTATATATACATATACTATTCCAGAAAATCACTGCCGGTCGCGCGCGCCAAATTATCGATTTCTCTCTCACTCAACTCACATAATATGTATGTACATATTTTACATTTTTTGGTGTAAAGTTCCACTAGAAAAACGAAGTACAGCTTGTAGGTATAGTACATCAGCGGCAAATTATGAACTACAAACACGTGATGTACGTACGAAGTGTCGTGTGCGCTCGGCGGCACTATTATTATGTTTAAATAAACACATCATGCATTAAACATTTTTAAATGAATAAGTGGACGAGTCAAATATATTTTGCGAGTGATCTACTTATTTCCTTACAACAATTTCTGAACTTTTTCTTTCGCGTCATTCCGTAGCTATAGGTATACTATTTTTGTAGAAACCAAGATCATCGATATTTTTTCATGGAACGTTTTTAATTAACTAACACTTTCATGAGTATACTTAATATAATTTCAGCTCTCTGATTGGCATCAAAACACACTCGGTATAAATCAAATAAATAATTATACTTAGATGTAGCTGTATATGTATATGCACTTTTTCATGCATAAACAATTGTTACCCAAAGTAATTAATACGTGAACTGAAGAATAAATTGCATTTTACTTTTGCCACATAATTATATTTTATTAATCATTGGGTGCACTTGTCTCTCAACGTGACCTCAAAGGATCGCTTAAATTTGCTCAGCCTATATACAAGTGGTTTAAAACCTCCACTTTCTGTTCTGAATTATGTAAATCAAGGGCAACTCGTTTTGGGATACCTACGTGTAAGTTTGTGGAATATATACAGACATTTATATGATGGCGGTATAACTATACTGTGACCTGGTGACCATCAGTGAAAGCGCGGTGTGCATGGTATGTATACCTATATCACGACACCTGATGGCCGGCCTACTCATGCCGCGTCATTCATATACAAGTACTTAAGTACAATGTACAGAGAGAACACGAATTGGAAGTCGAAAGCCGTCGCTGTTTGTTATCGCAATAAAAAGTCTGTGGGTGTTAATATTTGCTCTTTGGTACCTTTTATCCAACACTCATGATTCAATCGCTGGTATATGCTTGTGCGATGAGAACACACGCGTATGTTGTACCTATATAATATATAATATATATATATATAACTATATAGGTGTCGTGCCCGCGGGTTTTATTATCGGGTGTGGTGCAAGGTTTTTTTGAATCGGCTTCAGTCAGTTTTGAGAAGCGGACGGGCGAGTCTGTACACACGTTACCGAGAGATAATATATACATGTACACACCCACGATTAGCTTTACTCGCATGTGTACATGTGATTTTTCACTTGGATTGCGAATTTTCGCAAACACCAGATAATTACGCGCGGTGGACGAGGTACACAAACAGGTATGTGTATATAATATATATTACACGCGAAACGCAGTACCGCTTTCAAAAAGCGCAAAGTGGGAAAAAAAAATTTTTTTTTTCTTTTCTCCCGCTCGAATAATAGCCGTTTCGCTATCGGCGAAGTAACCATCAGTAACTTTTGGAATATGATGAAACTTACCCCGATACATGTATATACCCGTTTTGATCGCCAATAAGATAAAATTGTAGTGATTGATTATTTCGTACTTTTTTATCGCTTCGATTCTAAACGATTTACCTTGGCTTTTTGTCGCGTACAGAAATATATACCTATTGAAACGTATAATCTTATCGAAATACTCGAGTAAGTACATAATCATCTTTTCTCTGAAGCTTAACGTGCAAGTAGGCGTTACAAGTAAGTAGATTTTATAATCAATGAAATAAAACATAGCTTGTATGGTATGCTCTTGTGTGCACAGCTCGGTACATATAAATTGAAACGACGATGACGACGAGCGAGCCTCGATTTCGGATCCAAAAGCTTGGCGAGCCCAAGGCGGCCCTGGGCTCTGGCGACACGTACCTGCTCGAGGACGCCCTACCGGTCGAGCGAGCCGTCTTCAACGAGCTTCTCAAAGAAGTGAAGTGGCACGAGATGCGACACAAGGGCGGCCGCGTGCCCCGCGAGATCTCGATCCAGGGCAGCATCACCAGGAGGGCCGAGGACGGCCACGACGTCGAGCCGGTCTACCGACACCCGGCCGACGAACAGCCCGGCTTGGTCCACTGGACGCCCAGCGTGCTCAGGATCAAGAACCAGGTGGAGGAGCTCGTGGGCCAGGAGCTGAACCACGCGCTGATCCAACTGTACAGGGACGGCCGGGACTTTATCGGGGAACACTCGGACAAGACCTTGGACATCCTCAAGGGCTCGAGCATCTACAACTACAGTCTAGGGGCGAGCAGGACAATGGTACTTAAGCACAAGGAAACGGGGATCAGACAGAGGCTCCACCTGCCCCACAACTCGCTGCTCCTGATGGGCTGGCGGACGAACCGGGAATGGCTCCACGAAATAAGGATGGACAAGCGGCCCGTGAGCGAAAAGCGGCCCGACGAGCTGGCGTTCAACGGGCGCAGGATATCGCTGACCTTCAGGACGATAGCCACCTTTCGCGATCGCAGGACTGGCAAGCTCAGCGGACAGGGGGCCAGAGTTGTTGGGAAGGTCGATGATGATGTCGCCGCCGCCGCCGCTGCAGCAGACGAGCGGCAAAAGCAGCAGACGGATTTGCTGGTGGCCTTTAGCGCGGAGAACAAGACTGGCGCCAAGTTCGATTGGGACGAGCACTACGGGCGTGGCTTCGACGTTTTGAACTTTAATCTGGTCAACACCAGCGGGCACCAGCAACACTAGGGATCGTATTATTATTTTTCTTCTTTTATTTGGATCCTATTAGTTGTTGTTGTTGTTGTTGATTCAACCTTAACATTTTTCTTTGCGCGAATTCATTGTAAATACATGATCATATAATATATATTGTTACAACGGTGTTGTGCAGACAAACAAAAAGTTCAAAATTTCAGACGTGCACGTTTATATAAATAAGTATACATGTATTTATAGTAGGCGTGTATAATATATATATATTTATGTATAACTTACTTTTGTAACGATCGATAATTTTTATAAAAAAAAAAAAATAAATAA